ATTGTTTTTGGTAGGATGGTCATTTTTACTATGTTAATCCTATTGACCCACAAGCATGGGAAATCTTTCCATCTTCTGTTTTTTCTTAAGCTTCTTTCCTCAAAAAACTCCTCTTGGGGTTACTGTTGTATTGGGGGCATAGATGTTAAAAATTAAAATATCATCTTGGTGTGTTTTTCTTTTGATGAATATGTAATATCTTTTCCCATTTCTTTTGATTAATTTTGATTTAAAGTCTATTTTGTTAGATATTAAAATGGCTACACTAGCTTGCTTCTTAGGTCCATTTCCTTGGAATATCTTTTTCCACCTCTTTACATTGAGGTAATATCTATCCTTGATGTTGAGGTGTGTTTCTTGTATGCAACAGAAGAATTGATCCTGTTTCTGTATCCATTGTGTTAATCTTTGTCTTTTTTATTGGGGGATTAGGCCATTGATATTGAGAGATATTAACAAACAATGACTGTTCATTCCAGTTATTTTGTTGGTGGTGGTGGGTGTGAGTGTGTGTGTGTTTGTGTGTATGTGTGTGCTTCCCTTCTTTTTGTTTTCCTGATGTGAAAATATTCATTTCCTTTATTTTCATATCTGTAGTTAATCTCTTTAGTTTGATTTTTCCTTATAGCACTTTCTGTAGGAATGGATTTGTACAGAGATAGTGTTTAAATTCGACTTTATCATGGAATATCACATTTTGTCCATTTATGGTAATTGAAAGTATTTTGGTCACAGTAGTCTAGGCTGGCAACTGTGATCTCTTAGAGACTACAATACTTCTGTCCACATCCTTCAGGCTTTTACTTTCTCCATTGAGAAGTCAGATGTAATTCTAATAGGTCTGCCTTCATATTTTTCTTCATCTCTTTTTCCTTTGTAGGTTTTAATATCCTGTCTTTGTTCTTTATGTTTAGTGTTTTAATTATTATGGGGTGAGGGGACTTTCTATTTTGGTTCAATCTATTTAGTTTTCTATATGCTTCTTGTATGTTAAAGAAGGAAGGTATTTCCTTCTTTAGGTTAAGAAAATTTTCTTTTATGATTTTATTAAATATATCTTGTGGATCATAAGCTGGGATGAGGGAGTGTCTGCTCATATAGGGGTGGGACACAGCATTGAGAAAAACAGGGGAAGAGAGCTGTGTATATGCAGTTTCTTTCTAGCACACTCTGTCTTTTGAACATTTCTCTACACACAAAACTTTTGCTATAAAAGCTCTTTTGGAAATTTCATCAAATGAGGAAAAGAACAAACCAGGTCTGCTATAGTTTTACTATTTAATATCCAAAGCAAGCAATTTTAGACTTTTATCCTGGCTATTTACAATATAGAGAACGTTTCTCTAAATTGGAGTTTTAACTGTATTCTTACTTGGTATTCTACTTTGGAGGTAAAGGTATCCTACTCAAGATGAATTTTGAAAAGATGAAGGATTTGAGATATAATAAATGCTTTTAAATCTATGTACATATATGTGTGATGTATGCATGTATATGCAGATCTGTGAGTGTATATATACATATGCAAAACCTAGAAGATCATGAAAAGTATCTTGTTCTACCATTCTTCATTAGCAGGGTCTCTCACTGAGCCTGAAACTTATCATTTCTAACTAGGGCACCTGAACAGCAAGCTCAGTGATTCTCTTGTTTCCACCCTAGCACTAAGGTTCTAACCACACATGGGCATATGTAGCCCCTCTCACCTTTTTATTTATGTGGGTGCTGGGGATCCAAACTCAAGTTCTTATGCTTGCACAACAAACATTCTAACCCACCGAGTCATCTCTCCAGCCCACAAATATTTGATATTGTTCTTTCCTCCCCTTTATAACACCCAAATAATTTTTGTAAGATTCTGTAGAGCTCTTAAACTCTCATCAAGGGCACCACAAGAAATCCTACAGAATCAACTAACCTGGGCTCACGGGGGCTCAGGGGGGCTCACAGGGGCTCATGGGGACTGAGCTGACAACCAAGATCCCACATCAGTCTACCTAGGCCCTCTGCATATGCTATTGTTGTGTAGGTTGATCTTCTTAAGGGAATCCTAATAGTCATAGCTCTGACTCTTTTGCCTCATTTTGTGATCCTTTCCCTCCTACTGGGTTACCCTGCCCAGCCTTAATATGAGGTGAGGGGCCTAGTCTTATTGCAACTTGATATCTCGTGTTTGGTTGATATCCTTGGGAGGCCTGCCCTTTCCTGGAGGAAAATGGAGGAGGAGTGGATATGGCGGAGAGGGGAGATGGGGGTGCACTGGCAGGAGAGAAGGTGGGGAGACTTCAGTGGGGATGTTACATATGAGAGAAAAATAAATAAAACTCATCATTTTATGTAGCTAATTTTCTAATGTAAAGAAATATGATGGACATAATTGTCCTATGACATGTACAGTACTTTATTCTTCTGAAGAAATTCTTGTAAATAGAATGTATATATTAATTGATGCCAACTATTTATCACAATAATATTGAGGTATATTTTAATGCGTCCATTATGGTAAGACCATGTGCAGAGCTTTGCTTCTCACCCTGAATACTGTCAGTCTTCAGAGAATTCAGGATCCAACCTTTTCCTCACCAAGTTGGTTTCAGTTAGTGTTTTATCACAGCAATAGAAAGCAAACTAGAACATCTGACTTTTACAGAACTGTTGGGTATCTAAACTCAAGACCTGATGTTTACACAGTAAACTTAACTCACCACATACCAGTCCTTTTCCAATTTACTGAGTAATGATAACATACATGGTATAGGAGAGCAGCTTCCTCTAGGAGTGAAGTGTAACGAGACTTAAGGCATAAATAAAACATCACATGTCTAGACAGATGGAAATAACTTATTCTAGATGCACCCTACCCCCTACAAGCTTTAGGGGAATTAAGAACTTCTGAAGAGGAAACTATGACCAGGTAAGCCAAGAGAGGAAATATATTTTCAGACTTGTGGAGCTGCCATCAAGCTGTGCTGTTTTTGTGAATTGTGTATGATGCTGGGGTGGGATTTTTGGTGAGGCAGATTTTTTTGCAGCATCTATGCTCCTGTAAGTAAGGTCCACTCACACCTCTTTTTGTGAGCCAAATAGAAACCACTGGATAACCAAGTTGGACTTTGTTGCAGTTGTTATTTTAGTCTATCATAGCTTGTTTTTCTGGGGTGAATAGCTCTCTCTCTCTCTCTCTCTGTCTCTCTCTGTCTCTCTGTCTCTCTCTCTCTCTGTCTCTGTCTCTCTCTGTCTCTCTGTCTCTCTCTCTCTGTCTCTCTCTCTGTCTCTCTCTCTCTCTCTGTCTCTCTCTCTCTCTCTCTCTCTCTGTCTCTCTCTCTCTCTCTGTCTCTCTCTCTCTCTCTGTGTGTGTGTGTGTGTGTGTGATTACTTTGTATCTGCAAGTGTTGTTGTTGTTTTACTCTTTAACTTTTTGGGGGGCCCTCCACCCAACCTCCAAATAATCACATAGAGGGTTTTTCTTTCTTATGAATGCCTGTCCTTAGATTAGCTTATTTCTAGCTAGTTTTTATTATTCAAAAAAATTTTTTTTTAAAAAAAGCATTTTGGCAGTGGTGGCCTACTCCTTTAATCCCAGCACTCAGGAGGCAGAGGCAGGTGGATATCTGACTTTGAGGCCAGTCTGGTCTATAGATAGAGTTCCAGGGCAGCCAGGGCTTCACAGAAAAACCTAGTCTCAAAATGTCAACAACAACAAAAAAGAATCAATAAAATGGTAAGGTTATTTTTGTCTTAAAGGTGTAGATAAATGAAAATGATACTCTCCACAATTACATGTGAAAATATTTTCAGCTCTGATTATTCTGCTATTATTCCATTAATGTTATTGTATATCAGAGTAAATATTATAGACATGCATGCACATGTCATATGCACAACACACTGGCACATAGAGGTTTTCTTTCTTCTGTGCACTTAAACCCCTGTATAAATCACAACCCTAAACAGGTTTGTTCCCTCTATTCTGAGAATTTACTGTAACTAAAAGCAAAATCCTGTCTTGGGTCATTCCTTTTTTTTTTTTCTTTTTTTTTACTTAAAATCTGTAATCCTATTTCTTGAAAGCTCTTTGAATGTTCAGTGTGGTGTTCCACAGGTTTCTAAATATCTTTCATTATCTAGTCACTTTAAAATACTAGGGTGTCCAAAGAAGAAAGAGCAGCATTTTATTTACTTTCAAATGCATTCAGTCACCCTGTATCTTGTTTTTATGAGGAGCTCCTGGATACAGCAGTAACTAAGCATTAGGAAACCCATCCATTCCAGAAACAGCATAGCTCAGGGGACTTGATATAAAATTCATATGATTATTTTAAGTGCTCTTACTTTTGTAGGAACACAAATGCCTGTGGCATTTTGCATTGAGTAAAACATCTATTATTAAGTAAATGTGTACAAATATCAGAAACAAAATCTCAAGATTAAAAGACTGCCTGGCAATAGACTTTTTAGGTGCTCAAGACACAAACATATAAGGATAAAAGAAAGAAATCAGGCACTAGAACTATAAATTTGGGAGAATGCCAAGTATATCAGTTACTTTTTCTCATTGCTGTGATGAAACATCTGGTAGAAATAATTAAAGAAAATAAATATTTATTTTTTGTCACAGTTTGATGTCACAATGCATCATTTCAGTGAAGTCATTCGCGGTGGCAGACACATGGAGCTTCTGAGACACATGGCATTCACAGTCAGGAAGAAGACTGAGATGAACGCTGGTGCTCAGCTCACTTTCTCTTTTTCATTTGTCATAAGATGCCAGTCAATGAGTGTTATTTTCCATATTCATGCTGGGTCTTCCTTTCTGAAATCTTTCTGGAAATACCCTCATTGAGAATGGTGTATATCTGTGATGATCTATATACCATCAATCTGTCAATGGCTGTTAAACATCACAGAAAGAAAGTATGTGTATTCAACCATCTCACTGCCCACTTCAGACATCAGAAATTCAGTCTATTAATGGAAAAAATGAAACACAAGTTCAAAACTTAACAGTGCAAATTTTTTATTAGGACATTGTAGGCAATGAAGCAACTTTATTTTGGTTCTTTAATTTCATGTCCTCATCAATTTCTTCTTTACCCTCCCTAACTCTACACAGACACGTCTCCTCTTCCCTTTCCTGGTTACCTTCTGATTAGTGTGATAAATATGTTGCCCTTATTTTCGAACATCATTTCAGAGGCATACAGTCCATCACAGTAGGGAGAGAGTAGCAGCAGACATAGAAGCCAAGGCTTCAAGAGTAGGAGGTAGTTGGTTACATTTCAAATGAAGTCTGATTATAAATCCTCAAGGCACATTCTCCATGACCCAGTTCGCGCAGACTCTATCTTCAAGAAATCCCACAACCTTCCAAACAGCACCGCCAGCTGTGGACCAAGTTTTCGAATATGTGAGCCTGTGAGGGACAGTTGACATTCATGCTACACTACCTCTAGGAGTTGACAAGGCTCTTAGGAGTTCAACAATGCCAACTTTTCACTTTCTCCTCTCAGTGGTTTTTTCCACTCATCCTGACTGTCGAGTCATATTCAACTCCCATCTGCCCAAATAACCTTAAATATCTGATAATTATTTCAGAACAAACAAAAAGCAAACACCAAAAGAACTAACTTTTTTTTTTGCTGTCTCTAAATTTTAATGTCTTGTTCCATTTTATTAAGTCGTTTCAGACATATCCTGTTATCAGTAGATATATTTTGGTAAAGTGTCCCCTCCTGTTGCCTTTCAATAACACAGAAGTGAGAATGGAGTAGACATTAACCAATAGGTGCTAAAGTGTGAGAAACAGTAGAAGGTAATACAAAAGAGAGCAGAGAAGCAAAAATGGATGACCTCAAGCAAGTCCCACGATGCCTGTTACTGGAAATCAGACTGATACATGTAAACACAGAGAGTAGGCTGAATGAATTGGGTAGTAGCACCAATATCACACGAAGCTTCCTTCCCAAAAGTGGAAGATGATTCACAGTAGGAAAACTCTTCTTTATCCCTTATAAAAACACATAAACCATAATAATGTCAACAAATAGAATGTAGCTAAGATGTAAGATGCCTTTGAAGAATGGAGGGAGAGAAATTAACATGGTTTAGCATGCATTAGGAAGTATAGAGGAATCAGTTACAGTATCTGTTAGTGGTCACTTGTGTAGCTGGAGGGCTTCTCTCCAGGTCCCATCAAGCCCCGCAGTCCCACAATCCATGTATAAAATAATCATTCAGACGCTTATATCACTTATAAACTGTATGGCCGTGGCAGGCTTCTTGCTAACTGTTCTTTTATCTTAAATTAACCCATTTCTATAAATCTATACATTACTGGTGTCTTTACATGCTGCTTCTCCTGGCAGTGGCTGCAGTGTCTCCCCTCCTTCTTCCTGTTTCCCCAAATCTCCTCTCTCTTTGTCCCGCCTATACTTCCTGCCTGGTCACTGGCCATCAGTGTTTTATTTATATAGAGTGATATCCACAGCACACTTGAAAAGTACAAGCAAGCACATCAGTCTTATCTTATTCAGATGTTATAGCCCATCTGAACACAGAATTGGGTGCTGAACATTTCTTGAGAATGCATGTGCAGGGATTTTCCTCATTCTCTGTTCACGGAAATCTCACACCAGAGTGATCTGTCATAGCTCCTCTGCAAGGTCTCAGAGAAGATGTCTTGTTGCAGATTCCAGAGATCTTTCCTGGAGAAATGTGAAGGGATTTGATGTTCTTCTACCTCTAAAAACTGTAAAAGTAGACACTGGTGTGTGTGTGTGTGTGTGTGTGTGTGTGTGTGTGTGTGTGTGTGTGTGTTGCTAGGATTGAACCTAGGTTCATAAGCAAGCTAAGTAAGTGCTCTACAACTGATCATAGCATAAACTAAAAGGACATTATTTGCTGTTGTTATGATAACTCTTTAATCTTTTCATCTATAAACTTGTATTATCTCAACTGTTAACCCAAGGATAAGGCTCATTTTGAAACAGAAAGCAGTTACAAAGAAGATACCCAAATTTAACTCTTTCAAATAAGTCCAGGTCTTCAGCACCTTGAACAATTGTTGGCCCTCTGGATGCGAGCAGATGTTTTTCTGCAGGTGTGGGGGCTGTCCACATTCAGTAGGAGAACAGAAAGTGATTTGCTGACTGTAGGATCTGCAGAAGTCAATAAACAATAAGGGGTTTTCAACAATTCTTTTTATGAAAGGTAGGGTGTGAAGAAGAATGTATTCATGAGGGCATATGTATTTTAGAAGAAAAAAAAACACAAAAATGTGAAGTTAAGAAGTTCTTGGATAAATCTGTGCTTCAAGTCTCATCATCAACTTTAGAAGATGAATCTGAATGCTTGCAGTTACAAAACCCAGCATGGAAAGGTGAAGACTGCTGAGTCTTTGGAAAGCACTGGCCCTGTGTTTAGAATACACATTTTCTTTCTTTAATATTTGTCTTATGGAGGGACTAATTAGATCTAATTAAAGTGAGTACAAAGATACCAAACCCTAATGAGCATTTATTTTGGATAATTTTTTTAAAGTGATGTTCAAAATGAGCTGCTTTGAAACTTTTTTTCTCCTTAGCAAAGGACAGATAAATAGAAGATTCAAATTCCATGGTCAAATACAAAATAGGTTAAATGAACTTTTTAAAAGGAACTTCTCTCTGTAAAACTATCCTGGATAAATACAGAGCACCAGAGATGTCTTCTAATTAGCACAGCCCTCATATCACATAGCAACACTACACACACACACACACACACACACACACACACACACACACACTCATAAACTCACATGTGGTGTTTAAATAAGCCCCTGGGTGGACAGTTAGTAGATCACTTGTCTCTGGTTTATGCACAAAGTTCTGGTTTGTTTTTGTTTGTTGTTTGTTTGTTTTGGTTTTTCAAGACAGGGTTTCTCTGTGTAGCTTTGTGCCTTTCCTGGAACTCACTCTGTAGCCCAGGTTGGCCTCGAACTCACAGAGATCTGCCTGTCTCTACCTCCTGAGTGCCGGGATTAAAGGTATGTGCCACCACTGCCCAGCAAGTTCTGGTTTTCAGACACTTGTAATCCAAATACATTGGGAGCAGAGACAGGCAGATTCCTAGGGTTTAGTAATTAGCCAACCTAGTCCACTTGGTGAATTGCAGGACCATAAGAGACACTGAGTCAAAGGGAGTAGAAGGTAATGTGACTGCTACACATACATATGCACACACACACATATATACACACTTTAAAATAAAATTATAAATACACCAGAATAGAAAGCTTGGAACAAGTATGCTAGTGATTTTAGCATGAAGTTAGTAATCAAGTGATATGGTCTTGTGATAACTCACAGCAGAATTCAGCAGATGCTATTCAGCTTTGTGCTTTTTCCTGGAGACCCAGGAAAGGCCCAAGTACTAGGAAGGAGGAAAGCATGCAGTCTTGCCCATCAGGTTCCAGATACAGCAAGAAATGACCTTGATGACATCGCTGAAGAGGAATAGAGAAAATGTTGTATATAAAAGACCCGCAGGAGGCCCAACACACAGTAGGTATCATGTATCCTAGCTACTTCTCAGAAAAAAATCTGTCTTTCTCACCCCGCAGCCATTCAAGGCTTATGCAATTTTTGCAGAATTTCTAGCACCAACGTCATCTTGTCAATCCACTAACTAGTTTTAAGGCTCCCGCTATGCAGTAAGTCACTATCAGTATCCCCCAGGGGGCTGAGTCCTCTCTATACCTGGTCTGAAGTGAACACCCTCTCATTTCCCTTAGCTTTTCTGAAGCATGTGGATGTTATTTTCCATTTTTCACTATGGTGCTGACTTAAGACATGTTTTCTGGCAGCAGAGATTGTCATCTAAGAGAAAACCCTTCTTCTCTTCATGGAATCACAGTTGAGAACCTATAACCAAGCAGTACTAACAAGTAAAACAGAATTTTATTTAGTATTCTTCTCTGTGATGTGGTAATTTACATAAGAAAAGTTATACAAATCCAGAGAAATGAATAAATATGTGTATTTTTATCCTTCAGTTTGATGGAGAGCCGTGGAGAGATATAATTAGTGACAAGAGTTAATTCGTCTAGTAGTTACTAATAAGGAAATATAACAAAACTGTTGTATTAACTCTGAACTTGACATAATCTAGACTCACCTAGGCGGCAAGCCTCCAGGAATACCTGTAATTCATTACCTAGATTGATTTCAGCCTCTGAGAAGGTCTGCAGGGATTATCTTGATTACATTAATTGATATGGGAAGATCCATCTCAGTTGTGGGAAGAACTACTCTGTGGAAATAGAATCATGGATTACAGGATTGAAAAAAAGAGTTGAACACCAACAAACATGCATTCATATCGCTCTGAATCCTCGGAGTGGATGCAAGGCAAACAGCTGCTTCAGTTCCCTGCTGCCCTCCCTGACTTCCTCTACGTGCTGGACCAAAGTGTGAACCAGGATAAATCTTTCTTCTTTAAGCTGCTCTTGTCAGAGTATTTTAACACAGCAACAGAAAAGGAACTAAAACAGTGGGTGTATTAGTTACTTCTCTAATCCTGTGACAAATCACCACAACCAAGAAAATGCATATAAGGAAGCTTTTATTTGGAATTACAGTTTTAGAGAGCTACAGTCCATGATGGCAGATATGGCAAGTATAGAGGCAAAAGCAACTGAGAGATCACATCTTGATCCACAAGTAGGAGTCAAAGAGGGCTAACTCAAAAAGACAAGGATCTTTTGAAATTTTAAAGGCCCAGTGTCATATTTCCTTCTTCAAGGCCACAACTTCTAATCCTCCGCAAAGTTACCAGCTAGAGAACAAGTATTTAAACACGTGATCCTATATGGACATTCTTACTCAAGCCGCACAGTTGGATGTGCTTAGATTCCCCTTGGCCTTGCTGTCTCTCTTGTCCTTTCGTCTCCAGACCTACCTCAAGAGTGAGTTTTTTTATGATCTGCAAGATAAGAATGTGACATAGGGGAGAACAGAGTGATAGTTCTGCTTTGTGTTTTTCTCCAATAACACAGTGCCATTTTTGAAATAAAGTACATAATTAAATCCCTTTCCATATGAGTGATGTTTAAAGTTTATGGATTGTGAAATCCATTTATTTTGCCCTCATTATCAATAATTTGACCAAACAAAGAATATTACCCTCAAAAATCTCAATTAAAAGGTTAATTACATAGAATAATTGTTTTCAGTATGGTGTTTACATGTTGTTTGCTTACAACAGTTTGATTATGTTCATTCTCCATTCTTCTCTTACTTGCCTCCCACTGTGGAGTCATATTCCCTACTAGTAGTCCCCTTTATAGCTATGTTATTTTGTGGTTGTTTTCATTTTGTTTTGAGGTTGCAGTAAGCTTCAGTATGGCTGCTCACCATATAAGGGTAAGGGTTTCTTTACAGGAGCAAGAGATACTTATTTATCTCTGAAGTAAATGCCTACACCACCCAGAAGCTCACTATCTATAGGCCCTCAAGGAAAACTTGAGCCCCATGACACCCTCCCCAATCTATGACTCTGTGTTAGTAGCCCAATCTTAAGCAAGTCATATGTATATAATTGATTCTTCTATGAGTACAGGAATAAAATACTACGTCCTACTTGGAAATCAGTATTTTTGTTAGTAGCTTTCAGAAATAGTTAACATTAATATTTTTATAGAAAAATACATTTTATGACAGCCATTAGTTACATGAAAAAAAACAGTGATGGTAAGACATAATATCTCAGCCAACTCCAAGATGGAGCTCAGAGTTGTTTGTTAGGGTATCCTCTAGTTAAACATCCAATTTGAAGTGGAAAAAAATAATGTGGAAGGAAATTAATTCAAAGCAAAATAGTGGTATATTATTTTTCTCATTAAAATCAGAGAAGTGATTAATGTCATTCCTTTTTATAACTAAATTAATATTGTAAGAGAACAAAACAGCAATGCATCAAATTCCAATCAAAGGGTAGAAATGAAAGAACACAAATTAAGTCACTCATTATACATGTCAATTATTTGCCTTAGATAACTTGAAAATGACAGCTTGTAATCATGGCTAGAAACCCTCAAAGGCTATGCAGATATGTGTTAGTTGATTCTATCTCCCCAATAGGCAGTCTAACAGTTATTCAGAACACATACCAGTTCCTTCTCTCTCCTCTTACACTCTTATTTCTCTGGCAATCTAAGCCATCTAGTGTATAACTGGTACGTTCTTGAATATTTGTGTTTACCTCACTTTATCAACAGAGAATAAAGACTTAGTCTAGTGGGTATTCCCATTATCTTTCCTGATAAAAAGCAAACACATCTTTGGTCAGTACCCAAGGAATTTATCATCTGTGCATAAAAAAAATCCAATTAATCCTTAGCTTTCTTCCCAGTCATGTGTACCTTGAACTTATTCACTTGAATGCATATATTTACCACTTTTACCAGGAGAATTACTTAGAGTTTAAATAAAATTGATTCAGATAAAAACTTAAATGATTTAAATTAGAAAATGTTAGCAGGAAAATATTTTTACAGGGAAGAAGTTTTTCTATAAAAGAAATAGCAAGATGCTAATCATTTAAATCAAACAAATAGACTGGAGCCAGGCTTGATTCCAAAGGCTTCTTTTAGAAATATAAGATGGAGGAAAATATACCAGAGTAAGTCTGAATGCGATATCTTCAAGATGTTCTCTCCATCCTTCCTTGTCACAAAAAATCTCCAGATGTATGCATGCTCACATGTATGCATCCACACATGAGGGGTGGGGAATGGGATAGAGGCCAGGAATATTTGGACATATTTGGAGAATGATCAGGCCTTACCTGTCAAAATCCTTATTCTATTATGAAGCTTAACTACTGAGGATATTGTAAAAGAGTCAATAAGTATGCTGACAGAGTGAAGTTTGTTAAATATTGGCTGTTATTATTACCTTGCTAGCATGGTAAGTGTCTTAATTGTTTAGTCCTTTGAGAAATAGAAATTAGCCCTAAATATTGAAGTAGCTGCCTGACCATGATGTTCTCCAGCATCTTATATAGAATAAGCCAAATTATCGTGGATCATAAAAAGGATACCTTGCTCTCACTGGTGGAAAATGGGGGGAAAACTGCACTTTGGTAATTTTAAGGTTTTTATTAGTACATATTGATTACACATAATAATGGATTTCAACATGACATCTTTATACATGCACATACTATGTTTTTTATCATATTCCTCTCACATTATCCTCTCTCTTGTCACTCTCTCAACCCCTTCCTCTTTTATTCCTCCTCTACTTCTACATCATTTTTACAAGCTAGTTATTTTAATTAGGGTCTCTTATAAAAGCACAGGGAAGAGGTTACCTACAGAACCATGGGCAACTTACCTGTGACTTCAGCACTGAAAAAAAATGTCTCCCCCCCACCCTCTCAACCATTAATTGCCTGTAAGTCCTCCAGGGATGATCAGGCCTCTTGAACCCTGGTTCACTAGCACCTGTTAATTGCCTATTAATCTACAGCGAATCATGAGGCTCCCTCCACACCCAGGAACTGTTAGCTACCTATCAATCCTAGGAAATAGGCCTGGTCTCCTGAGGCTCTTCTCTTTCCCTTCTAAATAACTTCTGCCCTTCATGAGAAAACAAACTAAATGATTCTCTTGCCAGTCATGACTCAGGAATATCTAAGAACAACAGAACAGGCTTAAAAATGGCATCCCTAGGTAAAGTACTACTTCCCATCTCCTTGGAACCACCAGAAGAGATTGGCCTGATCTCAGATGTCACTTGACTTACAACAGCAGAGCCTCCTTAGGGTGCTCTTTCCAACTAACTATGGAAAACTAGTTTCTTTGCATTTTTGTAGTCTCCTTAATGGATTGCCAGTCATGATCATCTATCCAGTTCTGGTCTGATGATTTTGCAATAATAATGCTGTGTTCTCATTTCTCCTTCACAGAGCTGTTCTATGAGTATGGAGATTTCAATGTCATCTCCTTCAGAGTGATGATTCTTTCCTTTTCTGATATGAGATCCCCCAAAGCTCAGAATCTCTCACAGTTTAAAATGAGACAAAATCTTATGTAGGTGTATGTTCTTCTGAAGAAATGATGAGGCAAGAAGATTCACAGGTTGTGAGTCCTTACTGAGTTGTCTAATATCTTAAAGGTGTACCAGAAAATGGGACAACAAAATCCTATCTGAAAAGTCACAGAGGAATCACTAAAGTGTGCTTGATAGGCCTCCCACAAATTCTTAGTAGTGATTAATGTGTAAACGGTGTCAGTCAGAAAGAAATAGGAGAGACTGAGAATGAGTTCTGGAAGGAAAAACTACTTCCCTAGATCACCTAAACATTCTCCAAGCACCTGAAAGTTACAGGTGGCTGTTTGGAAACCACAGACACACAAGCTTCCTTCACCTTAGGGGATGTTTGCATTTGAATGCTGTTTGGAGAGTCTGTAAATATTTATTGCAATTGGATCTTGTAAGCATATTTTTAAATTAACTGGAAAACATATGCAACATTTTAATCAAAATTTATGTTACAGATCTACAGCAAAGTGTTAAGGCATATTCATTAATTATAGCTTGATGATGTAATGAAAATTCTGTATAATTTTAGCAGAATTAAGTTATTTGAGGCTCAGAGTGGCTGAATAACATGTCCAATGAAACAGTTTGAGCTATGTATTTTTGTAATAAGATTTTTTACTTTGTTTGAGTTAAAATGAAGTTTAAGAAAAGGTTTTTTTTTTTTTTTTTTTTTTTTTTTTTTTTTTTTTTTACATTTTTTTAAATTATTTACATTTGCTCAGTGGCTCACAGAGGCACAAAAGTCCTCAGATTCCCAGAGTTAGACTGCCTGCAGCTAGGAGCCACTAGAGTTGGTGACCCCACGCTGGGTGTTTTTTTTTTTCTTTTTTTAACACCAAGTACTCTTTGTTGCTGAGCCATCTTCCCAGCTCTGAGAAAATGTTTTAAAACAGACTTAAAGGTGAGAGATGGGACAAAGAGACAGGGAGAAATTTTTTTTTAATTTTTTTATTCATTTTATTCATCTCCCTATCATCCCTCCTCCTGCTCCTGAGAAATAATTTTAAAAGACAATTATTAAATATTACAAGAAGTAGCCGGTAAGGACATGGTTAATTATTTTAAAAGGAAAATAAACATATTATCTCCAGGAAATTCTTAGAAAAACTAAACACGATGAGACTGTAGAAAACATAAGCAGAAACCGAGGAAATTGAGCTGACTTGCCTGCCTCAGCCTGTGGACGCGCTCAGGAGAATTTAAGGAGCTGTCGGGATCTGAAGACACATGCTGCTTCCAGAACAAATTATCTGTAACTCAAAGGTAAAGGTGTGGTGGGAATTTGGGGAGAAGAGGGGTTTGGTTGTTTTACAGCTAAAAGGGACTCTTTAACTCAGCTTGACACTTTTATTTCAAAAGCTACAGAAACAAAGACAAAACCTTCCCCAGTAAATTATCTAACTATGCATTTAAAATTTCAGAAAACGATTTGGCGGTGTTTTGGTTTTGGTTTTCACTAAAAGCCTGTATTTGGGGGTTTCAGAGATGACTCAGCAGTTAAGATGATTGTAGGGATCCATTGCACTCCTCTTGTTGTGCCCAGTTCGTGACCCCCAGAGAGACCACTGAAGATGAGCATGCTGGAATGCAAAAGCAAAGTTTAATTCTGGATATCCAAAAGCAATACAAGCCAAGACAGGGACTTCATTCAACAGATCCAACACAGTGGAGGCTGGAGGAAGCTCCCACCTGTCTGCAAGCTCAGTTTTTAAAGGCAAAAACCACAAGGTTACATCATTTAGGGGTGCTAGTACAGGTACAATTCTGATTAGCTTGCTTCTAGGGGCTTTCTAGAAATCGTGGCTTAATCTTACTTCTAAGGGGGTGGCTGCCCATCACCATTTCTCATTGGCTGCCCTCAGGTGGGGACATTTCTATGGTCAGTTACCCTGGAAAACAGGGTTGGAACATGCTTTGGTCAAACA